AAGCACCGGAATGCAACACGTTTCTTGGCACGTGGCTCTTCAGCCAATGAGCTTCGGCCGTTTCGATCCGGGTTGGCAAATTCGGAAGAACGCACAAATCCGAAACAGGCATGTTTATCGCACGCCGCCGATGGATCATTGCCGACCGGAAAAACCGACATTTGGATGGTGCATAACTTCGTGATCGATTTTAGGCAATTGAATATCACGGGTGTTATCTACAACTTAGACAATACCATGGTAAAAATATACCTGACAGTACCAATGTATACTGTAACACTCTGTCTTATAATATGTCTTCTTGAAGACGGATCGAACACGGTCTGAAATGCTGAGGAATTTGACATAAAAAAATCCATATTTGACATCATTCCGTAAGGAACTTGCCGTTATTGAAAATGCACAGATTCTAAACAATTTTGGTTCAAGATTTATTGTTGATTTTGCTCCATTACTTTATGGCTCCTCTTCCCAAAGTTTAGAGTCGTGATCAACGACCATGCTGCAAGGTTCGAAAACAAATGCTATTGGAGATTTCGTTTGGGAAGAATACTCGGAAGACATGACGGACCAATCCGTACTGAAACCAAGGTGCTGTAAAATTTCCGTTTTGCTAGAATAGTGTGATGAACTCCTCATGTGGGAGTTCGCCAGGGCAGCGATTACGATAACAAGAAATTACCGCTGATAGTTTAAGTCTATACTCTGCGCCATTGGTCTTTGGCATGTTATGCTGAACGGTTGGGCACGGCCGTCTGGGGACCGATCGATGGTCGTTGTCAGCATGCAGTCCTGTGGCCGCAAGTGAGGATCTGTATAATTTGACTGTGGACACGCCGACACAACCATTGCATTTGCATGAAAAGCACTCCGTGGGAACAATGCGAAACTTCTAAGATAATGCGGTTTATTTTATAATTTCATTTTTTGACTTCAAGACTCTTTAATCAGTGTGCATCGCGCGACCATGAGTATATATTATATCATTATATTGACTCGATATATTAGCAGCTATTTGCCTCTGTTCCTGAGTTTTTCATCATTTACACAAAAATCAACATACTTATCAGTCAGTACAATACTGAAAATCTCTCAAATTACTGAATTTCTAGGTTCACAGTTTTGTTTCATAATGGCGCTAGTTCATTAATTATCTCAAATTAGTTTCGCAAATTAGCTACTATGTCTGATACAATTTCGTTATGCTGAACTCTCTGGCCTTTGTGGCCTATTTTATCATGTTGCATATCAGTGGAATGCCATTTCGAGTACACTGTGAATCCACTATCATATTTATGAATTTCCAATATTTCTGTTTTGTTTCACGATTCCACGTTATAATTTTGCAAGGGCATTGTGAGGTAGGAGACTATCTTTTAATCATTGTTTTATACAAAAATGCTGAGTTGGAGTAAATAATAGCGTTGCACGATTATTTCACAGAATTCAGATTTTTGATTATAAATTAATTTAAAGACGAACTTTCATCTTAGAACACCGAGATGATGTATAAAGAAACCTTATATATATAAGCCATTTTTTATTGCTAACTCATAAAGGTAAGTAATAATAACTCAATTATGACAGTCATTCACAAAAGATATTCTTTTGTCCGTGTATCGATATTTCCTCAAAATTACTGGTGGTTGATGACCGGCAGCGTGTTTTTCGCTGTCCTTCTACACTTTGAGGAGCCCATCAGTTAACTTCCATACCGATGGGTATGACATTCCCAGTTCTGACTGGGTTCGTCGATGTGCTGCCTCTACATGATCATTCATAGGTTAATCACTGTGGATCACCCTACAATAAACCGACCGCATTTCTAACGGAAATAACAGCTAACGTCTCGCATTTCCTCAACGATTCTGTCGGCTGACGTAAATGTCTTCGAACCACCCAAGGAACTGCTGCAGATCGTTCGAAAGTTCTTCATCCAGGCGGTCGATTGTTTCATCCATTGCAGTAATGAATACAAACTCCATTGCCGTTATTGGCTTCGCTTTAAAGCGAAATAAGCCCCGGCGCTATACGCAGTAAATAAATACAAGGGTAACTTTTCGGGAGTGAAATCAAGCACATTTCATCTACTTTCCTTCAAAAATGAATATTCCAAATATTTAACTGATTCAGTATTTAAAACCCCAAGTTTGGTCTCGCGTCTCTTTTTGATCACAAATTCCCCCATTTCGGTACCAAAAATAACAAAGGAGATTATTCGATATTTAAAAAATTAAGGCTTTATTCTATTTAGCTATAGGAGCAAATCTTGGGAAACCTACATGCACGAAGTTTGATCCTCATCCAAGCTTGGAGAGTAAAAAATGGTCTATGAAATACCTTGCAATCGTTCTGACCGGATATGTATGTATTGACAAGACCTGACAAGCATTGAAAACTACATTAACGGAACACAGGGGTGTCATCAGGTACCGTAACACTGATCATTATGGTTTGGTTGCCCATGCCTTGGAGAATGGTCATGACTTTAAGAACAGTGGCTTAACCATGGTAGATCGACACCATGACAGGCTGAAGCTGTTAATCAAGGAGTGGCCACACAACGCTGTCAGAAAAATTGAACTTGCAATGCTTACATTGGGTCCATTACATTTCCTTGGGGTGGAGCATTACTCAATGGCCTACAGGTCTGGCATCCAACCAGTCCGGTCAAGTACCAGCTGGCCAAACACTTCATTTTAGTTTCGCATTCATT